TAAAATAAAGTTCTATCACAGAGTGTGGAAGGTGTGGAAAGCACTTTACACAACCTGAAGGAAAGAGCCTGTCATATACATCCAAAATTTCAGTTTTTCATCCCAGATGATTCTGCAGCATTAATAGAATTCAAGAATGTGTTTCAGTGCAAGCTACGCTAACCTGCTCAGACATGCTACATGTATAACATTCCAGTCACAGCGGTGCATTTACCTCAGCCAGGTGGAAGAAAGTTAAAGAGGGGAATGGGTTTTTGAGGTGGCATTGGATAAATATTTTCAAAGAATCAAATTTATTTCTAAGAGTCTGTTTAACAATGTGGAGCAGCACCAGATGCAGAAACAAAGCAGATGATAGAGCAAAGTACTGCCAAGCTGTAAAAGCTATGGGCAGATTGTACTCAGAGCTTCTTCTAAATAGAAGTCTGAAACTCATTTTGCTACTACATGTTGATCTGTCACATAACAAAGTAACAACATGCATGCAATATGTTGGTTTAAATCATTAAAGGAAAGTTCCAAGAGGTGCTCCCTTTAAACTATGCAATCTAGAACATGGGTAACATTGACCCTGCCTGAGAAATGGAAGACCTTAAATCAAAGTTTTGACAACAAGCATATCATACAGCTGAAAAGATAAAGGTGGGGAATGTTTGCCTTCCGACATGATAGGAAACAGAATTAACATTCTGCTCTGTCTGGAATGAAGGGATGCATATGGAGACTCTTTTTTAAATTTCTTTTAAGAACAGCCAGTTAATGTAAAAGAATAACATAAAGAATTTAGTCAAAACTCTTCTTGGACTTTCTCACTAGATGAATGTAAGATTAGTTCAGTGCTTCCTTTTATTTCCACTGCAGATTAAAAATATTACATTTCTGTATCTTATCAGACTGATACATGGAACAGATCTATCCTCTACTGTATTGTCCAAATAAAAGACGGCTGGGAGTTGTTGTGTAAACACAGTTTTGTCTGCTTGCCTGAATGATAACAGCAGAGGTCAAGTTGAAGCCAAAGAGTTATAATAACCAGTTTTAACTATTTAAAGAGTTGGTTTCTCAGCATTTCATGCTTTGAATATAATTTTTTTCACTGTTTTATTATTGGCATGTTGCAAGGGCACTGAATCCAGACGTTTTCTAACTATGGGCCGGCTGTGCTGGGCGATAATGCTGCTGTTGTTAAGGAATTACATAATTCTCTTAGAAAGCAAATTGCAGTGAGCCTGCAGTGATGCATACTCGCTATTTAAGGGCTTAAGGGTCCACTGAAAATACTCGGTTATCGCATGTTTTACATACATGGGTCGACCTGCTAACAATCAGCATTTGGCTCCCTTCCCTTTGGCAAAAAAAGCTGTGTCTAACCCCTAGATGACAAGCTATATGGCCCTTATTCCCCCATGACTGCGTGTCTGATGACACCATCACGCTGGGTTAGCGCTGATGATGTCACAAGTGCGACAGAAATCAGGAAAGTAAACAATGGAGAGCAATATGTAAGGAAGCCAGGGCTTAGTTAATGTGCCTTATTGTTTCTCTCTTGTATCTGTCCGAAACCCCTTACCAGTGCTGCACCATGTTTATCAAATATAAACAGGGTTGTTTCAGCTTTTTAGATCAGACAGGGCTGGCGCGGTTTGTTGACGTTAATCTCAATGGTTTCAATTATGCACAGCAATTTTTTTACACTGAAACAAAACTTAATTGGCTATTTACAAAAAATGTGCATTAGGATGGCTTGAGCCCATGTGTTTGGTTCCAGGACAACATGAAACTAGGGGGCGCCAGGCTATAAATTCATAGAGCGAAAATGCCTAAAGGGCTTTCCAGCAAACTTGGTAGTTATCTTCAGGATGCAATCTCTAACTTATACTATTATTATGGTAATGATTGATCAAAGTGAGCAGGGCTTATGCTTCAAAATGTACAGCTGACCTTTCATTTTCTTTTTTTTAATTGGAGAAGCTAAAGATTCTAAATATGAATATTATGGGATGAATGTAGATAAACAGTTTTTAAGGATTTTTTTCATCAGCATTGCTTATATATACAAATAGAGGAATACTATATTTTTTATCACATAATTATGACATTTAGAGTAGAAGAGAAGAGAAAAGAAAAGAAAAGAAGAGAAAATCCCGTTATTGTCCCACAATGGGGAAATTCTTGTGTTACAGCAGCAAAAAGATTATAGAAAAAAATGGTCACTCAAATGTTAACCTTAGAAAAATGTATAAGAATAACATAA